AGTGGGATGCTCTTTTATTTGTTCTTTCATTGCGTTCTCGTGGGTTCGAGAACATTCTCGTCAGATCGAGTTCTGAATGTTCCAGTCGCCGAACAATTTAGGCCGATTGTTCCAGAACCCAACGCGCGTACATAAGGGACTCCGCGTTCTGATCTGCAGTCAGTCTTTCGCCCAGCGTTTGACTCTGCTGCTACGCCGACTTCGACGCCCGCGACGCTCCGTTATTATCTTTTGTACCCTTTTATTTTTGGCACAAGTTCGCCACATTAGACGTTTATTTCTTTCTGTTCATTTATTGTTCATTGGTCACCACCCGTGACAATATATATATATACTCAAAACAAAGGCAAAAAAAAAAGAAAACGTCTCCACGTGGGCTTGAACCCAGAGCTCCATTGCCCTTGATTTGAGATCCCTAATGCCCTGTTCAGACGGGGCAACTTTTTTAACCATTTTGAGGTTGCTCGCGGGTTGTTCCCTAGGTTTTCCCAGATCAACACGAATTGCTGAGATCGGGTTCGGCTCGAAACGGACGAGCAACTCGCACAACTAGGAGAAGTGTGAAGCGGCAGCAGCCAATCAGGGACGCAATAATTTCACGTGACATCCCTGTGGTGGTGATGATGACACCTAAAGACTTGGCTCTGGTTTGAATTGGATCGTTTTTGGAAATAAACTGTTTTACCAAGAGGAGTTAGTATTCTCAGCACAATTTAAAGATATAAAAACATGTATTTTTGGATATAACTGTGCTTCTAAATAGTACAAGAAAAATAAAATTTCATGATGATGATGGCAAGTCGTAGCAATTGGCCCGCTTCAGAAAGGGCAATTTCACCCAGCAACTTGACGTCGCAACACGTGCAGCACGGGCTGCCTGCGTTCACACGCAGCAACCGAATTGCTAGTACTTGCCATCATCATCATAAAATTTTATTTGCTTGCACTATTTAGATGCACAGTTATATAAAAAAAAACATGTTTTTATATCTTTAAATTGTGCTGAGAATACTAACTAATCTTTTTGAAAAAGTTTATTTCCAAAAAAAGATCCATTCCAAACCAGAACTAAGCTTTCAGTTGTGATCATTACCACCACAGGGGTGTCGTGTGAAAATATAACATTCCTGATTGACTGCTGCTCCTTCAAAGGTCTCAGAGTTGTCCGAGTTGCTCGTCCGCTTCGCGCCGGACCCGATCTCAGCAATTTGTGTCGATGTAGGGAAAGCTAGGAAAATATCCGCTAGGGCAACCTTGAAATTGCTGGAAAATGTACCCCGTCTTAAGCGGGCCTAAGACACCCTACTGTCTGGTACAGAGACCACTTAGTGACGTTCGGGTGTTTAAACGTGGTACTAACCTTTTTACAAAAAAAAAAACAATAAAAAAACAGAAAAACACATTTCAGAGGGAAAGTTATGTGCAGTAAAGTTCGGTGACAAGACTTGGGACTCAAGCAGAAGTGCAGTTTTTCTTGGTGTGACCCCATGAGACTGTCTTGCTTCCTTTGCTGAGGTTTATCTAACTGAAGTATCTGTACGAAAAATAGAAAAAAACATTCGCCCATAACACTCATTATTCGCAAGAAAATTTGTCAGCATCCAAAAAAACCACGAAGAAAATTATGTGAGGAATCTTTCGGCCACGGTCGACCGAGTCCCCTCTTGTGGCCAATATTTCATTGCAACTGTAAATGTAGTGAACAGTTATAGGGTATATTACAAACATAGTGCAGTTTGGTTTTGTACGAAACTACAACACACAAAACAGCACTATAATACTGCATTTTGAGGTACCTCTGAACAAATTCCAGGGTTTCATGGTGCCTCCTTCAGATACCTGGGCCCATTTGCTCGAAGCGCTATCGCGGCTAAAGCTAGCCCATGTACCTAGTAAAGGGATTTTGAAATCACATGACTGGGCTCGGTAGAGATGCGGGGAAACATGGCGGTTCTCCGGTGAGTGAGCGCCGCTCGCTTTGCAACTAATATGTCGTTGTAGGTGCCATATCGGGCGCGTTAGTCAGCAACGAATGGTGGAGGAGGCTTTTGCTTTGCCTTACCTCACTTAAATCGCAAAGCATGAGCAATGACCTCGCCGCATTTTTTAAATTGTCTTTCGATTCGGGCCATTCGTAAGCCTAAATGAACGCGATAATTGTCGGCATGGCAACGTCTTTGGAAAGTGGATTGCCTTGACTCAATCGGCCGGGTATTGAAAGCAAATAATAGCAGACAGCTTCCCAAAAGACCCTTTTTCTAAATTAACATCATATTGAAAATATCACTTCACCAAATAAATACAACGCGCGAAACAGGCTTTGCCACGCGGTACCCAAAAGGGCATGAAGAGAGCTGATGAGCCGAGGGATTCAAGATCTGCGCGTTCTGCCCCAGTCCGTCCTACCCGTGACATTACAAACGATGATGATGATATCTAAAGAAGCGCACCTTGCAGTTCGCACACGACGCAACATTCAACAGCATGACACTCCGGCTTCTGTGACGTCATTTCTTGCCACTTTGGGCCGTTTTTGTTGTATAGGCGAGATAGGAACACATCTGTCTGAGACGCGCTGCAGCATACCGTAATGTTTACAACATTAATCACGTTGTACCATGACGCCATGGAAGCTACATCCCAGACGCGGACAAAAAAGCGCTCAGAGAGGTACATATAAATGCTGGGCCTTTATTAAACGATTAATCAAAGACTAATATTATGATGCAATTATTGCAAAGGTGCAAGCGAGCTGGACAAGAATGGCAATAATAATCCCCGGAGAAGGGGGAAAAAGGGGACAAGGGACAGTTCTAGAATAACGACACCGACACATTGGGTCCCCTGAGCAGCACAGGGCGTCGCATTGCTCACGCGTATAACTTCTTCGCATCCGCTCAGTGCGACGCCATAAGTTGCTCGGGATTCTCTAATTCTAAAACCGCGCTATTGATTTTCTGCGACCATTATGTTAAAATATAGGACACCTAGTGACATCATTTCAAAAGTGACGCACAGCCGGCCAGGACTGGACCACCTTCACAATGAAAAACAAAAGATTGTATAAGGCAATAACACTTTATGTGGGCACAATATGCAGCAATGCTCGATTTGAGCTCCGCGTCACTCCGGTGTGTCGCAGCTCTCGTCGTAGATGTCGTACTTCTGAGACGAGCCAGCGAGCATGGTGTAAATAAAATCGCAGCAGCTGGCATTCCGACCATACTTGTCGTAGTGAGACTTGGTCACAAAAACTTGCAGCGCGTCGTCTGCGTAAATATAAAACCAAATCGGTATTATACTGGATTTCTCCGCATGGATTCGTGTAAAAGCAAAATTATTAAAACATTTCGTTTCGCAAAGTTTATTGCTGTCTCTGATGTGTATTAAAAATGTATGTTGAGCATCGTATTTAAGGTAGATGTCTCAAGCAGGTAAATATCCGAGTAATAAACTACCAAAGCCGCAATTGTCAAATTCCAGAGTAAAGCGAGCTATTCCCTCCTATTTGTTTACAAAGAACTGGCTTAAGTAACATGTAAAACGATATTTTCTACTCATGTGTAGCTTAATGCTAGGAAGCTAAGACAATCAATATACAATCTTCAACGTACTGCAGTAATATATTAACAACAACACGTCTGCCATAATTCCCCGTGTGATCAACCAATGAAGTTGGCACCTACAGCTTAATAAAACAGGGCGTGCCGAGCCCAGGGCATTGAATAATCATCAATGTTCTGCAATGAGTTCTATTGAGACATTAGTTGACAAGAAAGCAAAAGAACGAATGACGTAGCAAGAACTGGGAACCTGGTAAGGCCACACCTTTTGTTTGTTACACAGCGGCTGTATTGACAAATCAGCTGCATACTCGGTTGGAGTAATAACGATGATCTTGATGGAGATGTATTTTTATGGCTGAAGCCACCCGGCACTTCGGTGAAAGAGATCAGGCTGCATTTCTTCCCTTGACTTTTACTGAGCAATGAGGAAGCTATGAACTAGACAGACGAGGATTAGTGAACCGCGCTTTTTCTCCTATTGCTCGCAAGCATCTGCTCCTCTAGTATTTGTTTGTAGCCTACTGAAATGTAATAGTGGCATTATGACGTCAATGTTTTTTTTTTATTAGGAGCATGATCAGGTTGTGCTTATGTGATAAAGTACATCGCCATCTACCCATAAACTAATTTATTAGAACTCTTTATGGGACCGATGTGCCGTTGGGTCCCCGCTGGTATAATTTTTGTGAAGACCTCATTGAGGAAACCTTCTTGTTGTTGTTTTTCGATATATTTTCAAATGATCAAGTTACTTTTATGCGCAACCATATAAGGCTAGCAATAACCTTTGTTATGTTTAAACGAAAATCTGAAGTTTCAGTGAAGAAGAAAGTATTGCGCGGCGACATGTTGCCCAATTTTCTGAACAGATTTGCGTGCCTTCAAAGTCGAGACTGTAAGGTGTTTAAAGTGCGCTCTACAAGGAAGCTAGAGGAAACCCCACTTAGCCGTAGTTATGCCCTGGTTTCAAAAAGTTGGATCTCTTAGAAAACTCAGTAAATGCAGGAGCTTAAAATCTTAGTGGTTCGTCAAAATAAATTGTTTCCTGGAATAGAAATTTATGTAAACTAACTTTTATATGGGCATTAGAAGCCTCGTGGGAAGTGTTTTTTACAGCGATCATTTCTGCAAATTATTTAATATGCGAAAGTATGATTCCATGAGCTTTTTATATATTGTGTGACAAATTCGGCATTTGTCATCGTTGTGCCGATGTTTCATTCCCACACCTTTTTTTCAATGGTTTTCGCGGCGGTGGATATACAGAGATTAAAAAAATGCGACATTACATTTGGATTGCGTAATATGTCGATGTGTTAATAAAAAGTATTATAATGTGTTCAAAACTACCTAGAACAGCTTGAGCCAACGGTATGTTAAGCACATCGAGTTTTAACTGAAAATAAATTACGAAAGAACTTAGATGGATCTTACCACTTATGTAGGTCATCCTGATTACCGCGCATACATCAAAATCGCCGTAAACGGCATGGTACTCCACTGCCTCACCTAAGAATAAATAAGAAAAAAAAACATCTTTAGGTTGCTCTTCAAAACCTATTTTAAAATGCATTCGTGACTGATAAAAAACACACATAATATACACCCTTGCACAATACCCCCCCCCCCCCCCCTGGGCCTTCAAGGAAGAATAAATGATAATGATGACCCGTATGACCCATATCGCATAATACCATACGAAATACTAATATAGAAAAACGCTTAAAAATTCGCTCACTTGTACACATGCAACAAAGGATTGTCGGTGCTGTGCGCCACATCATTTTAATCATGTATCGCCAATTTAAAACTTGTTCAAGACGAGTTAAAGAAAGCAACGCATTTGAGTGCCATCATACGGGGAATGTATGGTAGACAATCATAGCCAAACATCACATTGACCTATACCTTCTTCCTCGAGAAAAATGCATGTAATATGTTATATCGTCGTATGGTTCTTTCATTTCATATTACTGCAGGGGTCTCAAATTCATTGTAGTGTGGGGGCCATACACCTCCACCCCAAAACGTCGAGGACCATAGGAGAGTGGGGAGGCAATATCATTAAATTTAAAACTAAAAAAAAACGAAAAAAAACACAGCATAGGGGTTTTTTGGTGGAAAGCAGCCGACTCTGTTAGCGACGCCTAAGGGATTTTCTAGAGAAGGGGCCTCGTACCCTCTGCTTTTTGTAATCTTGACAGTTTTTCGGTAATATTGGTCAAAACGTTTAGGTGCCTCGTGGTAATCCATATCCCTGGCACGAGAAGATTGAAGACGACGAAGTGAAAAAAGAAAAGAGATTGAGGGCTCGTGCGTCCAATCAACATGGGAACGACACGTCAGATCCCATCGTTTGCAGCTTGTAGATAGTGCAAATAAAAGTTTTCTTGAACATAACCATCGACGACAACGAGAAATCCCTACAACATCGTTTTCTTTGATTTGCATTTACGTCTACATTGGGCCCACAGCCCACGTGATAAGATTTAAAACGACAACGTGCTGGCAGCTTCCAATAGAAGTGCAATCACACTTTCGTTGCCCTGTCGCACCATTCGCCAAGGTCACCAGTCATGGGAACATATTTCCCCTCATACAACAGGTTTTACTTTCCTGGCAGTTTTTATGACATCACAATAGGGAAATACTTGTAAATAAGGTATTTTCTGACGACCAGAAGCCGAGTTATCTTCGGCAATTGCTCTTGGTGAGTGAGAGTTTATGCAGCCGAGGTACATCTTCAAGCAAAGATCGCCCTTGTAGTCCAGTATACAGCGGCATTGTCGTTCCGGATGATTCCGGAACCATCTTTTCCGGATGTTGTTCCACGAAGCAATGCTGAGTCCGAACGAAAAGAGATTATTAATTATATGTGAACAGGTTATTTGAGCAGAGCTCATTTTCGAGTAGAAATGAGTGAACGATATGAAACTATTACACTAATATTTACGGAGGAACTAGCGCTCAAGACATCGGAGCGGGGACTCGCAGCTCGCATCCACGAGGTGCTTGAGGGCCTCGTTTCAGCAAGTCGAGGGCCACATGCGCCCCGCGAGCCGCGTGTTGGAGACCTTGGTATTCGGGTTTTGTGAGGGCGGAAGTTTCTTTTTTTCTATAGGGTTTTATTTTGTTACTTATGGGAAGAAGTGGCCTAAGGAACCAAAATATGTGTTTGCGAGTTTGTACATCACGTCGTCTACACCTTACGTGCAAAGAACAAAACAAGCATTCATAATAACTTCGGTGTCGCATGCTTGTCATGTATAAAATAATGTCGCCTCAGTTTTCCGCTCTATGACAATATAATGGGCAATATCTCAAATAGCAGCACCCTTTGCGGTTCAGGTGCAGCCTGGGAGCAGGAAGTTGTCAACGGGAAGTTTAGGTTTCGGCTTCGCCGGGTGTTGCATCTGTTGTGTGCTATCGTCTGCTATTGAGACAAATTAGTGGCTGAAGTTTTTTTCTGGAGCCCCCTTTTAGCTCCAGGTGCTCCTCTTGTGAAGCAGAGTATTGCAATTATATTCCGCTTTGTTCCAAGTATTGTGGGAAGCGACAATTGCTCTTGCTGGAGGGCAGTGGCGTGTGGCGAACGAGCCATGTCATCGTTCCCGAGGCGAGTCGTCTCTGCCCCTTCAAAGCGCGCACGCATCCGCAGCCTGTTGTAATCGGCCTGTCGTCGGTCGCTTAAAGGGATACTTCAACGAAATTTGAAATATTCCCGTCGTGTTCAAAAATAGGTTGAATATGATCCACAATATCCGTAAATGACAATCGCACGTTTGTATTTTGATCCTGGTGGCTGTATTTTTCGTTATAAATGGCCCACTCTAGCAAGCGCTCGGAGAAGGCCCAGCTTAGAGCACCTGACATCCAACGCAATCGTGACGTAGGTCGTCTCAAGACGAGCAAAGCTACGGCGAGCCTGACGTCGAGAGGATGGCCTAGTCGTTCCAGCCACCGAAGCGGCTGCTTTTGTACGAATTTTGAGTGACGGGTTAATCTTCTATAATCTTCTAGGGGGACAATAGCGACTTCTGCGACACACAAAAAGGATTCTCGAAAAGAAGGGAGTTCCTCCTTCCCCCCTTCTCTCGTCGTGGCCGGAGACGAGACAACCTCCGTCACTAGCTGTCAAGGTTCCTAGACGAGCATTACAAACGAGGCGTTAGCGACATCCACCAGGTGCTCTTTGCTAATCGTTTAATTCGTTCTAAAATTCCTTTTCGAGACTTTTTAACAAGCTATTGGTATGTTCCATGTGATACTGCTTTTTTCAACACATATAGACCAAAAAATGAGCGCCGAAATATCGTTGTAGTATCCCTTTAAACACATCAGTAGCTTCATAAACAGAAGGCAACAATAAGCTATCCAAATGGCGCACAAAACGTTGAAAGGCTCAAGGTGCTTTCTACTCGCAGACTTCAGTGTAATATGCACAGCTGGCCGGAAAAGTCTGAGGGGCGCAGAAGCACCAGTCGAAATGACTGGTTGCGCCTTCTGACGGCGCGCGGCCACTCTAAAGATTCACACTTCGAGATTGCGATTTCTTTCGTGCCTGCAGTCGAGCCTTGTTTTACTTGCTAACCGGATAGGCGCAAGGTGCCGCTTTGTCAGCCGTCATGTGGCGCGTCCGCCTCAGTCACCGTGACGGGTGACTGAGTTCGCATGCTACGGATGACATCTCACGCCGCATTGCGCGGGTCCCATGTTACCTGGTGGGCATCAGACGAAGGCGAGCGAAAAGGAAGCACAACATGACTGCGAGCACGAAAGGAAGCCCATGCACGTCAGACGGTCTTTTCGGATGGCGATCTCGTGCCACGCAAATCATTTGCTGCCAACTACATTTCGCGAAGGCAGAGCGGTATGTATGGTACGCATAAGACTTCGCTGCGTCCACGAGAGTGCTTCCCCGCAGTACTTTTGGTGCATTTTTGGGCATGTGGTCCTCTTTTCTCTAGTGAGGATTTGCGAAAGAAAGAACTACTATACTCTGGTTTCGGTATTTATTTACTCGAGCAATTACGTTACCCACGTTGCCTGCTTCGCACGCTGTGGAAGCTGACGTCACTTCCGAATGGGACTTCTGTCGCTCTTTTGGGTTGTGGATTTGGTATGTTAGCCTCCTCGCGGCTTACATTCGGCAGTGTATCACATAAAAAAGATTTGAGATATCGAAATATTAACAACAGCTATGACCTATTTTGAGGATGGGCAACAAACCTCTGGTTAGAATGTGCCATTGAAGGTAAACGAATCGAATGTTATATGGTGGAGATTATGTATTTACCTTGCCAAATATCACTCACTACACGAAACTTGACGTCTATTGTGTTCAACAACCTTACCTCAAATATTCATTTCCTTAATTCATACATTTTTTTCATAATTTTCACTCGTTGGTTAAATACCTTATATAACAATAGCAGCTACCTAACAAATAAATATTTTGGCGCAACATTAAATAAAAGGCGCAGTGTAATTATGGCTGGGCGTTGATTAAAACCTTTAACCCTTTAACCCGATTGATCGGCACTTTTTAACCAATTAATTGATCGCTTCATTGGTTTAGCTCATTCTCATAAATAGTGATTTAAAAAAAGTAACACAATTTAGTTTTGTTCCTTTTACCGAGTATGTGATAAATGGCGCAATGAAGAATTTCAAACTTTAAATCAACCTTGATGTGTAGCTGCGAATAGTCAAGAGGCACCCACGCTGGAAAAAATTATTACTTCAGCCACAGGGAAAGGTTCCCTGATATTCTCTCGCAATAGCGAAATATTTTGAATGGTTGCAATAGTGTCTACTGCGCCAGACGGAAACTCGCATGGCGCGTACGGGGATGGGACAAGTATACCCTTCTTCACTTGTTTGGAATTACAATCTCGCCACGACAACAGTTTACTTTAGGTCAACATTTGTCCTATAGTTTTCTTTATACAGGGGTAGTCGTCCACGCTTGCGTAGTGAAAACATTGCCTTTTTACTTTTATTGTGATTGTTCAAATTTAACTTATTGGTCGGTTAAAAAATTAATCGCAATTAAAGCAGTACTCTCTTAATCGGCAAGTTAATCGATCAAGTGCCTAGCCCTAAGTGTAATGCATTTTTTTGTGCACCCTTTGTCTTTATGTGTAATGATATTCATTTATATCCTTGCTGTATCCAGTGCTACCGGCGCGAATTTGTGCGTCCGCTAATTAGAACGGCAGTCTGGGCCAGTCGGTTGCTCATACCTCCGATGTTACGACGCACAACAACAGAGACACAATTTTCACAGGCACATAAAAAAAGAACGCTCACGCAGCGCTGGCTAACAACTATGCTGTTTTCTTATCACCCTTTGCTCTTCTTAAGTTCACTATAAGAAGCAAATCTCTGCTACTTTCTCTTTGAACGTGTGTCTAATACAGCTTCTTATCTTACAAGTTGGAGACGGTGGGTATGGTGGTCATTGTTCTCTCCAGATTTAGGAATTGTTTACAACCGGCAGCTCAGCA